TGGCTCTGTTTGATTGGTGAAACCGAGTCAAACGTCACCAGTGACTGCATTTGATTGGTGAAACGCAGTCATGCGCTGGATCCTACTTTGGAGGTCTCTGACAAACCAAAACAAACAAAGCGTGCATTAACAGATCGATAAAAATATGTAGCGAGTAGCGAGCGTAATGAAGATAAATGGAACGGAGTAAAAGTAGCGCTTCTTCTCCACAAATATACTCAAGTAAAAGTAAAAAGTATGTTGCATTAAAACTACTCTTAGAAGTACAATTTATCCCAAAAGTTACTCAAGTAAACGTAACGGAATAAATGTAGCGCGTTACTACCCACCTCTGCATAAAAATGTGCAAAAATGTGTTTCCAAATCTCAAAACCATTAATTCAAGTACTCTTGCCATGATATTAAATGAGAAAATACTATTTATAAATACTATTTTTTTTAGCCATTTTTCCTCATCTCATGCAGTTATTCTGGATTGATTTTTGTAATTACCTGACACCAGTAGTTCGACCCTTCACTTCCCATTTCAAGAAATTATGATGATGAAATTCTTCCAAATAATCATATTGTAGCATTAAAAAAGTTTAAGTTAATGAACTTATACTGTCTGTTCTACATCAATATAACAAGAATAACATCAACAGGTTTATTCTGTGTACTATATTTATGTTACCAACATATGCTTCTCTATTTTTTCTCTTAAATTGCCAGCATGTCATATTTATTCATATATATATATATATATATTCCTTTTAAATCTTGTAAGGGTAATTAGATCACAGAGGTGACAAAATATGTATCTATGTAAATTAATTTGAAAAGTTTAGGGGAAAAAGTTTCTAGATAAACCACATTGGACTCAAATGTTATATTTAGGGTGTATGTATTTAAATATAAAATATTTTTGTCACATATTTGGAAAAAAAAAAACAACCAATGTCCAAACTTTGGAGTCAGAGTATATCGCCTTATATGTGCTAATCTTTCCTCAAATAAAAAACAGCAGTACAAAGAAATGTTTCCAAATGACCCAGTAAACTGAGTTCCTCTCACGTTGTTTCATGGCCTAGAAAATCTCTGAAAAGTGCCGGACTGTGTTGTTTCTCCTAACTTGTTTATTAAAAGATGATTTTTTTTTACATAGTGTTAAATACAATCTCTTCAGAGAACAGATGTCTGAAAGCAGGTGAACAGATGTGAGATCATGTTTGATTTAATGTCCTTTCAGTCGACCCACAATATAATATATCTCTCTGTAATTATTTTAAAACTCAATGCAGCTGTCAGTTTTCAATCTTCAGTTGGAAAGGATAAAGAAGAATCTTTAATTCATAGCATATCTGTGCAAAACAGGGAGAGTCAGGTCCCAGAGCCCATATTCCAGCAGCTTGTACCCTCCTTACATCGAAGGCAACAGAGCAAACATCTTTAAAACCCCAACTGTTTAGTTCAAGCCTCCTATCTTCCATCAGGATGACCATGGTGCATTTCTGGTGTGTAAGTCAGGAGAACAATCATGACCCACAGGTGCAGAACCGCCTGGGAAGAAATTGATAAAGCATATTTTAGTTTTCTTTTATTAATCAGTGTTCATCAAGATGGGAAAATTGTATTCTCCTGACACGTCTTAAATAAATCCTCACCATGTACAGGATAACGAAAACTCTGGCCATAGGGTAACGTCTCAGGAAGATTCCAAGTCTGATGCTGAAATGACAAGATTTTCTATTTATCACTGGGAAAATATTTCACAATAGAAAACAAAGCAATTACAGTCCAACAGTGACTGAAAGAGTGAAATCTTACCTGAAACGGTCGATGGTGCTGGCTGCCTTACGTACTTTACCATACACTCCTGGACTCTCCTGATCACTGAAGAGGACTGGAGTGTTTCTCTGCCGCGCTACTGAAATGACAACACACAGGCAAGGCATCATGGGAAAAGAAATCAGTGGAGTCAGAAAGAGAATATAAAATCTGAACAAATAAAAAAAACGAATGCTTGAAAGAAAAACAAACCCACTGAATTTTGAATTAAGAACTTGGTATATTCTAGTGCTGCACAATTAACTGAAATACAATCAAAATTGCAATGTGTTTTTTTTCAGTGAAAATAAAATGTAAAAATGACCATTCAAACTGAAATCACAATCACAATATGATTCTTTCAGCATGTCGTGCAGCCCTGGTATATTCTGTAGGTTTGGGGTCGATATTCTGCAGAATGGGGAAGTGACTGTTCTAAGTCTGAACACAAACGCTTGCAAAGAAAGTCTTTGATTTATTTCTTTTCTCAGCAAATGTGTTCTGTGCGGTGAAATGTCACCTTCAGGGACTAAGAGCTTCATCGAGGCATTAAAAATGAAAATATTCATGACACGTATTCCCGTGGAGGAAATCTTGATAAATCTGCCCCGCCGCTCTTGCACCAATCATTTTGCTCCTGACCTCAGTCTTGCCTACCTGGCCCCTCGAGGCCGCTCATGTTGATGGCCGGCCCTCCGCTTTGTCCTCCCTGAGCGTTCTTCAGCTGCTGCTCCAGACGCTCCAGCTGGAAAACCAGCGAGCTTTTCTCTGTGCCCAGAGCCTCCAGCATCGTCTGCTTCTGGATCAGCGTCTCCGTCAGCTGGTGGAGACGATTCTCCAGCTCTGTTTGGCTGCTGCTGCTCAGAGTCTTGTTGGTCAACTGGGAGAGTAAACACATACCAGGATATGGATCATCACAGCTGACAGGTGTGGCAATAAAAATAAAAAAATGTTACCACCCTGCGATGGCAACAAAAGGAAGCGTTTGTCTTCTTTACTATAAACCAAGCTCACAGGAAGTGCGCTCTGCGTTTACATGCCTGTACAACTATAAAGTGACTGACCTGGTTCCTGAGTTTTTGGATTTCATCCTCTCTGTCTTTGATTCGACTTTGCAGAGTGGTTTTGGCTCGATGGTTCTCTTCCTCCAGGTACTGCAGCTCCTGTGGTTTAAGTAAAACACAAAAACATCCCACATGAATTAAGGGTTTGATCAGACATAGAACAATTATGAATTATTATTAACATTTGAGACAATTTCTATCTTTTTTTTTCACTCCCCCCTCACCTGTTTGTAGCGCTCAGCCTCAGCCTCCACCTCCTGTTTAACCCTGTTCTGTAAAGCCTGTTGCTCCTGTAACTGCACCTGCTGCTCCCGCCACGCATCTGCCTCCGTCAGGGCCTGAGACTCCAAATCCTGAGAGAGAAAAACATGGCTCACTAAGGTCACAGATACAACAGACACAGCTGGGATACATCCCAGTGAATCCATGACCTCATCAACATCATCAACATCGTTTTTCTTTTCCTGTCGTTTCCAGCATCTCACCTGTATCTCTGTTCGAAGTGTGTGCACTTGCCCCTGCAGTTTTTGGATCTCCTCCCTCTGTAACTCCTTCTCGTGACGCACTTCCTCCAGCTCCAGAGCCATGGCCCCGCTCCCGTCCAGAGTGTCCAGACCAGATCCCTCCTTCAGACTGCTGATCAGCTTCTCTTTGGACTAGAGAAAAACATTTACAACATTATTAAAAACCGTTCAGAAAAATGCTAAAATCCATGTACAAATTTATATGTAAAAAGAAAACATAAAGCTTGAAAACAACAATGAAACATTCTTTGCCAGAGTAAATTTGAGCCTTGGTGCTAATGCTACCTGATGATATTCTGCAGGGCCTGAGCAAGGCTTACTTGTAGGATGCGTGAAGCTTTGTGCTTGTAGTCCTGTAACTCCTGCTTGGCAGACTCAGCTGCAGCTTTGGCACTTTTCAGTTGCTGATGGAGGTCATCAACCCTGAGCTTCTCCTCTGCAGCTCGTCGCTCCGCTGCAGTTACCGTCTCTGCAAGGGTCTGCCTCTCAGCCTCCAGCTTGGACAGTCGACCAGCATACTCACTCTGCACAAGAGAAGAGGGTTAATCAAGTCTTACTATTTACGTACGGACACCCAATAACTAAAGGCAAAGCTTCGCTCTCAGTCAGCGTCGTACTGCATGTACCTGCATCTGCCGGTAGCTGTCCTGTTCCCTCCTGAGAGCCAGGTCCGCCTCTCGCAGCCTCTCCTGGATCGTCTCAAGAGCTTGGGACTGCATGCTGCTCCCTTCTGTGTGGTCCTGCACAATTCTAAAAAGCAAAAACAGTACCATGATATCTAATTTCTTTAAAACCTGAATCTGATCTCTGCTTCAAAAGGTGATCATGTACCTTGACCTTTCCTTCTGTGCCTCCTCTAGTGCAGCACTGCGGGACTTCAGCAGCTGATCGGCTTCATCCAGTCTGATTTTCAGCACCGCCAGCTGACCGTCTTTGGCTGAAAGCGCCTCCGTCAGGTCGTCGACCTGTGACCGAAGTTCCCGTAACGTTCGGTCAGTATGACACTGCTCTGAGTTCCATTTGTCAGCTCGTAGTCTTGCCTGGTTCAATTCTGCAAGAGTAGAGAACAACTCAGTCAATACAGAGGCAGAAGTGCAGACACGTCGACCATCATCGCTCCTGATTTATCTTTTGTCTTACCGTCCTGCAAATCTTTTGCTCTCTGGATGACTGAAGCCATCTCCTGGTTGAGGGAGGACACTTCACTGCGCAGCAGCTGGTTCTCCAGACGCAGACTGGACAGGATCTGGCTCTGTGGCTCCTCTGCAGGGGGAGGAGGCTCCTGCCTGCTGGACTCCTGAGGGACAGGCAAGCCCGAGTCTGAGCTCTCAGATGTGTCTGTGGCGGCCGAGTAGGGGTGAAGAGAGCACACAAATATCAAACATAAATGCCAGAAAATAACTACGTTATACATGTTGTATATATGTAAGGCATGAGAAATCTGGCCTCCTGCTGTTTTAGTTATTTTTTCTCTAGTTTCAGCTTCTGAAAAGAGGATTTACTGCTCTTCTTGCTCAAATACGACAGTTTTTCTTTGGGCTCTGGACTGTTGATCATGCAAACTGGAGACATCACCAACATCCCTGAGAAACTGTGAATGGAATTTTTTTCTAATATTTTAAGATTTATTGTTTAAATATATGTTATCTAAAATAGTTTGAATTTTTGATGGAAACATTTTGCTATTACCAGAGTAATACGATAACCTAACATCTCTACTCCACAAACATAACACTTCTTCCTTCGCTGACAGAAAATGATGAGATAACCACTGTTAACGTGGGGTCTTCTTCATACCTTGGCCTTGCTCTTTAGCAGAGCTCTCCTCTGACGTTTTGATGCTGTGAGCAGACAGCGAGCTCAGGCTTGAGGCCCTGGATACACCGCGGGTCGAGGGGGGTGTGGACGGGGCTGAGGGGATGGCGTGAGGAGTGGTGGATGGAGGGGGTGTTGGGTTTTCGGCCTCTGTAACTGGAACTGCCACTTTCATAAGTTCCCTTCTTGAATCCCTCCTGTTGCTGGCCGGAGGCTCCGAGCTGTTCAGAAAGTCAAAGAGCATATCATCGTCCACGTCCTGCTCGCTCTTTCTGGGCCTCACAAAGCCAGATGACGTCTTGGCAGAGTTGTTAGCGCTGCTGCCAGAACCAGACGGGGTACCGGCCACGTTGGCTGTGCCAGCCAGCAAGGTTGCATTGGATCTCTTGATGTTGCTGGCTGCTGCGGAGATGAAGCCTATTGCATCGTGAGAGGATGCATAGTTCACAGCTGTGTCGGCCTTGTACCCTTCAGTGTTGTACTCAGGTTTGACAGTGGATTCTCCTTCGTAGGGCGACGAAAAGGAGGAGGTTCTTTCCTGGCTTTTGCTCAGGGCGGTGGCAGCTCCCTGGTCCACTTTATTCAAGAAGTCTTCAGCTTTCCCAGCCAAGTCAGTAAACCAGGACATTTTCAATCCTAATGGCAGAAACAACAGCTCACTTTGAGGATGACAAGGCCCCTTTAGCAGATTCTCAGCCAACATAAGTTCCAAGATGTTAAGGTTAAGAGCCTGAGGGCAGGTTTGCTAATGTACTGTATATATTTGTCTTTCCTTTTAACAATATACGTAAGGGCAGCAGTGGTGTAAAGCTTGCAAGTTCAATGCCTGCACTGAAAGTACAAATCTGGGCAGGGAAAGTGAGGGAACAACACTTGCCCCTCCCTCATTGCCACCAATAAGATTCCCCTAACTGCTCAAGTGGAGCTACTCAGATCCGACTGTGGTTGTACTGAGTAGCTTCCATGTGTGAGCGTGTGCAGCTGTGCGAGTGTGACCAGGGTGTTCCTCGCAAAGACAACTCGGCTCTCAGTGAAACTACCCTGAATAAATAAAGGTTATATTTGTGTGATACCAATAGGCCAATTCAAACATTTGATCACAAGTCTTAATCACTTAGAGTGTAATTATTTAATTATTCTCTTTTCTAATCTGCAGTTATGAGTGTTAATGTCATCATATTACTGTCTACATGGTTGTGCATCTTAATGCATATTCAAAAGCATTTAAATATACACTCTGATCGCTGTTTATATGTATGAACACATCTGAATGTATATTTATATTGTATCGCTGAAAATGTGCATTTCTACAATTAAAATGTATTTTTGTTATTTACAGATTTCACTTGTAAATAAGATCTCACTGTGACTCCCTGATTAAATAATGTATATATATATACAGTATATATATATGAAGGGAAGTGTTGGTGCATGCAAAGCAAGACAGGCTGTAAGTTCTTTTGTCCATATTCCTGTAGAACATACAGTATACATCATGGCTCACTGATTTCATTTGGACATGCATTGGGGTCCAAAAGTCTGAGAGCTCTTGTGGTCATAGACTTTTGGACCCCAGTGCACGTCCAGAATAATGCGTCCAAATAAAGTCAGTGAGTCATGATTGGTGCAAAGCAGGTACAGTATCTAATCCTGCATAATAAACAGAATGACAACAACGGGCCGCAGGTGGTTAAGGTTAAGATTACATTAGGGACTTTGTTGTTAATTATCTTCCAGTCATCGTGAGCAGCCTGAGAGACTCGATTCAGGGCTGACAACTCTCCTGTACATGCCCAATGTCTGCACAGCTACAATGCTAACACAATCACTCCACACAGTCAAAGCAGGCCGGTTAGTTTGAACACCGACAGCGTGTTGTTTCCCACTCAGATACACGGAGATAAAGGAGTTATCACGGGAGCTATGAGTAGCTCCAGTCATCATACAGTAAAACTAGTGTAAACACAGTCGGTTCAACACAAACTCCATCATCAGCTAACGAGCTAACGAGCTAGCTGGTTCCTGAAGCAAAGCCTCTAACGTACCGTGTGAAACGACGTCCAGGTCTCTGAATGTCTCCGGTCACCTGGCTACCGCCGAGGTTTAACGGCTGAACGTGAACAAGAAAACCAGCTTGGATAAACACAGTCAAATGTCATTATCTGTCAGAGAGGATGTTGGTAGTCTTTTCGATACGTGGACCAGGAAGCGGCGCTACGAAGGACCCCACAACAGAGCGACCTCAGACAGGCCTGATCAAAAACAAACCAACGCACCCGCCTCCTGCTTCTTCTTCTACTAAACACGTTTCAAAAATACACCTGCAATTCTCTAGTTAAAAGTAAGAACCGGTTCCGTCTCTTTGAAGTGAAAGATATTCATTGCAAGATATTGAACGAGATTTATCCTTGTAATGACCTCTTACATCAAAAGTTTAATTCAGATTTTAATAGTTGTACTTTTTGCAATTCAAAACACTGAGACCATAGAACATCTTTTATTATTATATTTGAATACTTAGCAAAATACTTTATACATAAATGTCGTTTCTTTATACCCACACCTATATTAGATGCCTATTTAAATTAATATAATCTTATATAAAAACGTGTGAAATGCTGTTATATTAAAAAAAGACCAACATCTGTATGAATATTTATGCACTTTAATACCTGACAGATCCCTTATTTTGTTTCTTTATTTTATTTTAAATATATTCCTGTTTATTAAGTTTTTTCTTTAGTTTTCTTTATTCATTAATTTTCTTTCTTCCGACCTATATTCCTATTCTTGTTACTGCTTGCTCAGTTGTTCCTATTATTTCTGTATTTATCCTAAATGTGATTTGTGCCTGTTTGACTGTTATAAAGATTGTCAATAAAGAAAACTTATTGATTTACTGATTTAAGTAAAAATACTGTATGAACAGTGGTGGAAAGTAACTAAGTACATTTATTTTATTTATTCCACTCAAGTTCAGTTGTACAGACGTACATTATTCTGAAGTAATACCATTCTACATGAGGAGAACTTTTATTTCTGGCAATTTCAGCATATTTTGATGCTGGTATTTTTGACATTTTCCAACAACTATTTTGTCATCAAGGGCAATTTAAATGGATTTCATTGTGGCAGAATAAATACTAACATTTTATATTAATGTTCACCTACTTGTATTTTATATTGCTTAAATTATACATGATTAAAATTGTCCTTTTAAATAGCTTCATTGTTTTCAATATAAATAGTAAATGTCTCCACAGAGTTTCTGATGCTTATGAACCTGAGTCTTGTGTTGTAATAATGGATGCAGTGTTAGCTGCAGTGAAATAAAAAAGCTAAACTTACTTTAAACAGAAACTTACACAACATGAGTAAAATAGAATTAGGTCTTTTCAGTCTGGTTAAATATAGTTAAAAAGATAATTGACCTCCTCGGCAGGTGACTCGTGCTGCTGCAGTCTCACTTTTAGATCAGAAAAGAGACAAAATGACAGAAGTTATGAAACAGTGCCTCTTTATTTTTTTCCGCACTCACTCCAAAATGCATATTTACATGGCATGCCACATCAATACAGGAACTTACTATGGACACAATCGATAACATGTAGAATCTGATCTGGGAGTTAAGGGCGAGGGAATTATCCCATGAACAACCAACCAAGAGAGAACAGAAAAGAAGCAACACTTCTATAACCAGGCCAGCCATAGAAAAGGGTTTCTCTTAAAACGGGTCGTTTCAAAGACTTAAAAAGTGATAAATGTCCAGTTTCACATTGGTCATGGAGAGCCGTCGTCTCTGGTCAGGGACGGTGATCATCTACAATCCGCAAAAATACAAGAGGCTGTTCAAATTTGGGATGGACTGCAAAGACAGATGATCACACATTTCTTTCGGGGTGGGGGGGATTTACAACATTAATTTGTTGCTGGTTGACTTCAACTCCATTAGTACAGCCTCAACAATCTAAGTCTTCTAAAATAGTGCCCTCCTTGTTCAAAGTAAAAATCCACAAGCACCGTGTCCTTTAGCGAGAGAGAGAAGAAAAAAAAAAAAAAAAAAAAAAAAAGGAGTGGACTCCAGAAGACCAAAAAATTGGGGGAGGAGTTAAATACATAAAAAACACAACTCAGTATACGAGTTTGTGTGTAATAATGCGAAAATAACAAAACAACAAATATCTGGAGACGTCTCTTCTCAGGGAGATCCTTTGAGAAAAATCTTCGCTCAATCAGTATTTCCTCTGTTTGGATAGACAGTCTGTTGTATCAACATTCAAACACACATCCTCCAGGAGTCATTCACACACACACACACACACACACACACACACACACACACACACACACACACACACACACACACACACACACACACACACTCTCTCTCTCGCACAGCCAATTACACATGCATTGTGTTTTCTGGATGACGGACTGGCCACATTAGATCAGCCCCCTCCTCTTCTTGTAGTCCTCCAGGTTGAGGGACCTGCGGGGGGCGCCGTCCTTCACCGGCAGCGCGTTGGAGCTCACGGACAGAGACTTTGCTTCTGCAGAACACAAACGTACAATCAGAACATCTGTGCTAAACGACGACTTCGTGCTGCGACAAAGAAGAACCTCCTTCCATCTTAATGTCTTCTGAACCACGACATACGTGTGGAGAATCATCTCACCTGCATTGGGGACCTGTAGGTCGATCTTTACGTCAAAATCATGAACTTTAAACAAGTCCTCGGAGAGGTCAGTGGTTGGCTTGGGGACATCTTTGTCTTTCGGATTCAATTGTCCCTGAAATAAAAACAAAAAGATGTTTGAACTCCTCCGGGTAAAGACCTACGAGTCACTGTTGTCTCTGCTGGAAATTAGTTGTTTTCTACATTTTAACACCTTAAAATAAACAGATTATATTTAGTTTTCAGTATCTCCTGATAACTTTTACAGTGTCAGTCCGTCAGTCATCCAGCCATCAACAATAAAAAAAAAAGACATGCACTAAGAACTGGCAACTGCAGCTTTCTCTTTAAAAGAAGCTCACTGACAGAATTTAGCAGACGGATAATTCTGAACATGCTAAATGTATCACAGCTGGAGGAACCGCACAGTAATTTCCTGTTTGCATGACATTTCATTTGGCATCATTTCCACTTCCCTAAACAAACTCAAGTGAGAGACGTGAACATCACGTGAGAGTTCGCTCTCTGAACACGTTGACTGAGATTACGGGGCGCTGCTGCTGCTGCTGCTGCTGCTGCTGCTGCTGCTGCTCACCAGTTTGTTCTTCTCTGCACTGGAAGGATCTGGTGTCGACCCGGAGCCGTACTTCTGGTTGAGATGAGCGAGGATAGCTGCGTGGACTGACGGGTCTCTGGCCTTTAGAACCAGGAGGAGCAAAATAACAGATGAGGTCATGAGGGGTCAACACTGTTTAATTACAAAAATGGTGCTTGAAATAATCCTAGAACTCTTACATTTGACACCATGGTGGGTTTGCACTGTCTCCGTGTGAAAGGGTCCATTTGTTGGTTTTTGGAGTTTTGTCCTTCAGCCTGAGAGAGAACAGGGAAATAAACTGTTATTTCAACAGGTAAAGTGCATTTTACTCTTTAGATTCAACAGGTGACACGTTTGAAAACCACTTACTTACAGTTACTGTGGTTTCTGCACCTCCGTCGTTTTCTACTTGTTAATGTGCATTTGTGGGAAACTTGATTTAGTTTTCATTGTAAGTTATTATTGTTTTATATGTAGAGTTATTTCATATTTTAATTATTTTCAAATACGTTTTATTGTGCCAAAAGAAAATCAAACATATAGTGAATTGTAGTAAGATTATATTAATATACATTCACATTTATAAAAACATGATATGCCGGTATAAGGATTGTCCCTGATGAACAAGAAAAAGAAAATAAAGAAAAAAAACAAATCTTACATTAAGTGAAAATATTTTGATTATTTTCTGTGTTTGGCTTGTTTTTTTTTTGTTTTTTTTACTGCTTTACTGATATAGTGTGATTTTAATAATTATTTGTTTTATTTGTTGTTTTTGTGTGAGGAGGAAGACTAGCGACCACTGAGTGAAAGCTGACGGGGATCCAAATAAAGAAATAAAGAAATTACAGTTCTGCCCTTGAACAATATGATGTGAGCATGCGGGGGCTGATGTTACTGCGAGGGAAACCGGAGCGCCGCCACAGTAGGAAAACCCTTCAAGAAATAAATATCATCATCATCTGCAGCTAGTGAAGAAAGAGACTGTTGTTGTCGGACAGAACCTTCCACTCGGTGAGTTGCACCTGCGCCGCACCCTTTAGTGCGCACACACACACACACACACACACTACAGGATGTGAACAGGGTGCAGCATGGACGTTTTCAACAAATCAATTCCTCAAACATCTTATATCTTCTAACACAGTGTTCATCGTTTACTGCCGGTGTGTAATCAGGAAGCAGACGTGTTCGGTGTCAGGTGAGCTGGACACTCACCACCAGAGCTTTCTCAGATTCAACGATATTCCAGCTTCTGTTCCTCTGGTTAATGTAGCTGGATGAAAACAGATTTAAAAAGAATAAAGTCACAACAATGATGATGTCAAAAAACAAACAGGGATGTTGTTCAGGATTGTTTATTTAGAAAAATAACTTCTATGTTCTCTTCATACTCAGCAGCAGAGAAATGCCACTAACTAGCCCATGTTTTATTGACATATAGATGTTGTTGGATATTAGATGAGATATTTGAAAACGTATTAAAATTCAAATAAAGTGATATAATAAGAGAAAAGGAAGCAGCTTCTGTACCTGATGGCAGAGATGTTCTTGGTCCTCTGTCTGTCGAGTGCTTCTGCCCGTTCCTCCAGCTCGTTCAGCTCGTCCTGGATCACTTTCACTTTCTCCCCGTCTCCGCTCTCCTCTGCCATGGCCTTCCATCAAAACCAGAGGGACAACAGTGAGAGCCGGACGCACAGCAACACACGGAGATGTTTAGATTTCCAGGGCAAATCTGTGATATCTGCTTTAATGATTTGTGAGTGAGTTTGATCGAAGTGTGGGAATCTACCACTTTCACTTTCCCAGGATTCCACAACTTTTTTACCTTGTCTTTGAGTAACTGCGTTTTCTTCATGGCGTAATTCGGTGGTGCTTTTCGGAATCTGTCCTTCTCTTTGACAATCTGCACAAAGTGAAAGACAAACAAAGAAAAAGGGTTTTTCTTCCTCTGCGTAACGCACGAGTCCTGGGAAACCAGTGACAGGAAGCTGACTTACATCCTCTATGTCTTTGTCATTGAACTTGTAGTTCAGAGCTTCTTTGATGGACTGCTCCTTTTTGGTGATTTCGTCCAGAGTGGGGACTTGCATCCCCGCGACCATCATCTGCAAAGGAGGAAATCAACACAGAGAAGGTTTCCCTCGCAGCCTGAACAGATTGTTCCCGTTCCTTCTTAATCAAACTTTACTGATTCCATATTTTCAGATCCACTTACCGCCTCTTTCCACTTCATGAACTCGCTTTCTGTAAACTCCTGATTTGATACAAACTCGAGCCTGAAAACCCGTGTGTCACCGCCATGCCTGAGGAAGACACACAGCGTCATGCGGGCACATTTTTTAAGGAAGCAGAGAAGGTTCGTTAGCCGATGCTTGAGTAGCTACTTCAGTATGTATAAAGTATTTGTAACCGTGTCACTACCTTAATTGTAATCCTTTGTTTGTTCGCGTTGATCCAAGTTGGTAAACCTTCGCCGTCTCCACCACGTCCACAATTTCAGCGACCTTTCAACAACAAGCGGAGGACTGTGATTAAAATTCACTAACCAGCATTTATTTAATTAAATCTCTTCCTAAACCGCCCCAGATCTTCACCGTCACCGTCACACAGGAAACCTAAAGGACACTTCACCCAGCGCTCACCCTGTACACTGGTTTACTGCTGCTGTTCCCGATCCCTATCCTCACAAAGCAGCCGGTCACTGTCTTAGCAAAGAAGGGCATGTGGCACCAGCGCTCCAGCTTGTTTCTGGACAGGCGGATCCTGTTGAGCTCATCCGGTAATGAGACCGGCTGCGACTTCGGTGGAGTCTCCTCTTTTCTGTGAGCAGAAACACAACGTGAGGAGTTACGTGGAAGCAGCGGACAGGCAGGTCTCACGATTAATCTTCCATTGTTTTATCACTATGAAAAGAATAACGTACTCATCGTCATCGTAAGACGATGAACGCGAACTCCGATCACTTTTGACGGACGACTTGTCGTCGTCTTCCTCCTCTTCCTCCTCGTCGTCGGAATAAACCTCGCTCGTCTTCAGGGGCTGACGTTTGGCCAGCAGTTCCGCTGCTCGACGAAACACACCAGACATTTAGAACCGAGTGAATCGTCTCAACAGTCACAACAAAGTTTAAACTCCCACCTGTTTTGTTTTTCTTCTTCTCTCGCTCAGCTTTGAGTTCTTCCATGGCCTGGGACTTTTTGTCAAGTTTTTCGTCACGTTTGGATCGTCTCTCCTTGTTGTGTGACATAACCTAAAAGAGACATCAACGAACCAGTTAATCTGTAACTTTAATGTGGCCTTCAGAAAGAACACTGACGTCATTAACAGTCATAAATGAATCTTTAAAGAGGCTGAACATGTTAGAATTTATTCTCTATTTTCATTTTTAAAAACGTATAAATGTCCACATCGTTGTCGTTTATGTCCGATACGTTTTAAAACATGAAACTGGACTCACCACTTGTGTGTCTTGAACCTGAGATTGCTTCCTTTTTTCTTGTTCCTCCTCCTGCTTCTTCTTCTTCTCCTCTTTCTCTTTCTTCTTTGCCGTCTTCAGCTTCTTCTTAATTTCAAACCTGTCAAAACAAACGTATTCTTGGATGAATAAACAGTCAGATCACTGCGAGGCTGCTGGTGAGGGAAAATGCTGAAGGTTGTTTTCAAATGAATGAAATATCCTGCTCGATGTTTTCTTCTGGTTTACTTGGTACATTCTGTTCATTGTTCCATCTCTGTCCGACCTCTCTGCTCACATCTCCTTGGTGTGTGTATGTTTTGTACCATTAGGAAGATTTTGCCTCTCGCATCATCGCCACTCACCGTCTCTTTAGCACCTCTCTTTTCTCGATTCTGTTGAACAGCTCTTGCTCTCTCTCCTTCTCCGTCATCTGCTCCAGACGAGCTCGGTCCTCCGCGTCTCCCATCAAGTCGTCGTCGTAACCGTCCCTGAACACCTCGTCCTCAGAGGAGTCCGAGTCTGAGCTGGAGGACGAGCTGTTGCTCTCCGAGTCAGACACCTCACCTGACAGAGAGACATTCATTGACACAAACAGGAATCAATCAGCTGAACACTAAGCAGAACACTACAGAGGTGGGACGTCCTGAACCTGTCTGTGTGTTGGCTGTGACCATTTTTATTGATAAGCATTGACTACATTCAGCTTGACCACAATCTACTCCTTTATTTTATGCCAGTGCGCTCTCTACACCGGACTGTGTTTACAGCTTCCAGCAGTGAGGAATGTGTTTTAAAAGCTCATCATGAGGCTGAAATGGGACGTGGAAGTGCTTTGACACCAGGAAGTGAAGGAAGCCTCACAGATGCTTGTGATGGTTACGATGTCTGAGTAGGGCTCGGTTTGAACTTTGATGCTTTTATGGATCGTCTCATTTCGTTTTTATACTGTCAAGGATTGAAAAACGTCTCGTCATTCAGCCAATCAGCATGCAGCATGCTTGGACCAAGATCTAATAATGCTGGTGATTGGCTGTTGATTTACACAAACACCAAGCTTAAAAATAAAACTAAAGTGAAACTAAAATTTTTAACGTAATGTATATTATACTTTTCTTCTTGTTAAAACGGATTTGAAACAATTAGTATCGAAAAAAGTATCGTTATGGATCTGTATGGAAGTCCAGGGATCTGTATCAGCACCGATATCAACTTTTTGTTTTAGTGATACGCAGCCCTATGGCAAGAACACTTTTACAAAAGGACTTATATAATAGGGACCAATATAAAGTTCACACTAAAGGTCATTTAAATGTTATTATAGCAGAGTTTTTCTGCAGAGATACTTATGTTTAAAGCCATTAAGAGACGCTGTGACGCAGATTATTTCTCTCACTCTTGCAGAGTGTATCTTTATCATCTTGATACGTGAACTGGACTTTGACCAGATCTCCGGATCCTTCCCCCAAAAGACTTTTCCTGTCCTTCCATAACCGTGTGGATCCATTGAGAGTGTAACACAAAAACAAACAAAGAAGTAAACAACAGCTTGGATGCTACACTGTGTGCCAGCTAGGATAAAGGAGATGAGTGTGTGAGTCACCTAATCCCAACCACCTAAAATACCTGAGGACATGGCAGCCTGTGATGTGTGTCATCTACAGATCAGAATATGTCTGCAGCTTCCACCACCACGATTACCTGAACCGTTTATCATACGTGTTTACTGAAGCACCTGAAGCCCCCCCCCCGTACAGTGAAGACACATACCCTCCTCAGGTGCAGAGCTCTCAGCTGAGCTGTCTCCATCAGAGCTGCCGGACGCTGTTGCTTTATTAACCTTCTTCTTTGTGGCGTTCTTCTTCTCAGACCCTTTCCCTGGCTTAACCTTCTTCTTGCCTTTGGTGCCGCCCACCGTCCACTACACAAAGGAATGAAAAAAATACCAAATAATTGTAACTGGCCAAGAATTGTGATCTATTCACTTGAACCCAATAACAACAAAAGCAGTCTGACATGTTTAAACTGTATTTTTGACATTTTTTTACATCCCAAACCATAAAGAGTGAAGTCTGTTCATGCAAATACCAACGACCGTCGTACCTCGTCATCACTGTCAGATGTCTCTGAGTCTGTAGAAGCAGCAGGTTTGCTTACTGGCTCTTCCTGCTCACCTGAATCAACCCTCTTCCTCTTCGCCAACGACAACAGCTCCTGAAAATGAGAACACAGTGTTGTGGTTCAGGAAGAACATCCAGGGAAATCACAACTTTGTTCCTGTGACTGTAGCCTTGCTCATATGCAGCGTCATGGGTGGACATCTTTAAATACAGGTGTGAATAAACCCAAACTGCCTGGGATCCAATACCACAAGCCACACTCAGAAGTGAGATCCATGTGACCTCATGCACAGAGTGGTCGTGTTTAAGGGCTGACTGGCCAACTTTGCAATGTGCATATACTGGATCCAACCGCCCACACACAGCTATAGATATATACTAAGACAACAGTCTGATGGATGTACTTCACACGACACCACATCTCTTCCTGAATAGCAGTACAGGCAGGAACAAATGTGCATTTTTGTTTAGCAGGTAAAATTACATGTGAGCAAGGAAGGAAAGTCGTATCACAAGCGGCCATCAAAACACTTTCTGATGTTGGTGCGAGCAGCAATTAGTCCCAACTGGATTTCTGCTTTGATTTAAGACACCAATTCTGAACAGGGCATGAATACATGCACACACACAAAAGCAAGAATGTGAACCTACAGTAATATACCTCTCTGCTTGGAGAAAGTGGAAAAGCAGCAATCCACACTGATTCAGTGCAAAGTAGTGCATCAGCACTGATACTGGGCTTATTCGGCTAATCAAGTACCGGTTACGATGTAACTGATTCACATTAAAAACAGTTTCTCTGCATATTTCATTATAAAATTAAGTGTATTTGCTATGAGAAACACAGACTTCTGGTGTGTTGATTCAGAGTTAGTGCCACATTTCATCAGGTCAACATAGTGAGGTTTACAGATTTTAGATTTGGGGAAAAGGTGATCACTGGTATTGGATAGGTACTCTGTGTGGAAGAGTTGCAGCACAGGGAGAGAAAAAGTTAGGAACATTTAATACAGCAAACATCTGATATGTATAGCTGGTTTCATCAATGTGAACTCAAAACACAATCCTAGAGAAATGACCAGTTCTTAAGACTCCAAAACCTGCTGCTTTGAGCATCTTCCAGTCATCTGTTATTCACTACATGTGCCTGAGTTGTCTCTGAGCATCACCTGTTAAGAAGTGAACTGTCAGGTAATGGACATGAGAGTTTACTGGTGATCAGAGGACCAAACAAACCCACTAATGATTTGAGAAACCACCGGTGACTGGACTTTTCTCATCTCTTCTGGTCACCTGTTATTCACTGCGTGTGTGAGTTGTCTCTGAGACTCAACCGCTTCGCTGTGTACAATGGACATGGGGGTTTACGGGCGATCAGAGGTGTTGAAGCAGCAGCGCTGTGCAGCTCCACGGGGCTGACACGTTAGACTGTAAAGCTCTTCAGACAACTTGCCAGCGCTTGTTTGACAACAACACCGAAATAGCAGTCCGGCTAACTGACGTCACTGAGGAGATAAGGTTCGAGCTAAATCAAGTGCGGCGGCTCCACTACGGTTTCAGTTTGTGCAAACATTTCCCAGTCTCGTTTGGTCTAGAAGCCAACAAACAAATCCCTCAAACAGCGCCGAACAGCTCACTCCTCCAACCAGTACAAAAAAAAAAAAAGGCCCATGGCGCGGTATTTTCGTCACAACATAATACTAGCGTTGAGTGCATCTCTCGGAATGTAACCTTACAATTAGCATAACTTAGCTGCCTGACGCTACGGCACTGTTTTCTGTGCTGCCGCAAACACTTCACTCGGTGCTGGATAGCTCACAGAAACACACGAGAAAAACCTAACAATTGGTTTGTCTTTGGGAATGGTGTGTTTACTCAGAAAGGAGGAAAAGGTTGTGAATAAGACAGGCCTGCTCTCAGCGAAGCCAAACACAGCGTAGTCAGTTAGCATACATTAGCTTCACCTCAAACTACGGGCAACTTGAGACGCGATCACTTATATCAAAATCAAAAAATGCGCACCTACCTGATCTAAATTATCGTCGCTAGCACTGTCTTCAGAGTCAGAGTCAATCACGACTCGACCTTTCCGCTTCTTTACATTCACCATGATTAGCTGCACGGCTAACCTGCTAGCTACCTCTGTGTCGTCTAAATGTTTGAGGCTAGCCGTTGCTGCTACCTAGCTAGTTGGCTCTGCAGTCAACCACACAAAGGCACTACTGAGCATGCGCGTCCTTATTGATACTGTGATTACCGCTGGATTTTACATCCCTCACAGTGGAATAAAAATCAAATTTAAGCTTGTGCTTCTTGTATGATTTTATTAATTAGTGAAAATTGAGAAAATGTCAGAATGACTGCGACAGTTAGCTGAGATAGGAACTACATATCTAAAGTGAGCGTGCAAGTCCGGACACCGATGTTTGGTGCACTAAAGCTACATTCAAGGCCCACGACGAATCAACCTTTAGCTGTTGTGCAGCTGTGTGTTACTGTCGTCCATGTGTTTCATTTCTGTGAGAATGTGTCCTGAACGCAGCCCAGGTGCTTCAGCTGGGTTTCCTGTGTGGACCCGGACAACCTTGGATTTTTAAGCGAGTGCACACGAACGGTTTATAGATTGTTTGTAATTTACAACAGAGCTATAAAGAGATATATTCATGTTGTAGTCAACCTTGAACACGGACAAAGTCCTGCAAACCGGGACCGCATGCACGGAGTAAGTGGAAACAGATTGTGTTAAACCAGCCGTGTGTTCAACGTGTCATATCTTCAGAATAATGTAAATCCTCTTCATTGTAATGTTTGGTAACACTAGCTAGCTACTCCTTAAACAGGCTGTAACCACTGTCTCATTAGTGTTGTCCTATAATTAACTTATTCCAGGTGTCAACATTAAGATAAATCCAATTCAGAAGCAACTGCATATTCTTTAAGTGTGAATTTAATTTTTACAGTATAATCAGTTTTTCAGCAAATACATACCAATATCATTTTATTTTTCATCAGAGGAGAGAGCTGGTATACACAATAAGGAGCAAAGAGACACGAGTCAGACACACAATGGATGACACATGAAGATTTATTAATACTAACACACATTTCAAGAGGACATTGGTGTAGCTCAAGAGCTTAGCAAGCAACTAAGTCGAAAAATAAAATAATTAATACAAATGACCATAAGTGAAGAAAATAAGCAAAACACAGATCATATTGATCACAGATTATAAAGGTAAGATATTCCTTTATTATCCCACAGTGGGGAAATGTGCAGCGTTACAGACTGTGAAATGACAGTAGCAAGTAATTAAAAAAGATAAATGATATAATAATATAATATGTACAATTTGACATTAAATATAACAAAGCACACAATAATAGCAGCAGATAAGTGATATATATTTATAATATATATACTTTCCTTCATTTGATTCTTTCTTTAAATCCAAGAAACCTAATATTGGTTATTCATTATCACCCTGCAACTCGTGTGTTGACACCACTTTCCCATGTGATGTATCCCAGCAGTGAATCATCCAGATCAACACTGAAATGTCTCTGCCAAAGATCACACGTCTCCCTTCACTGAGGCTGCTGAGCTCCATCCACCAGCAGCAGCTGCTCCTCCCCTCCATCACCCCCCTCACTGTGCCCAGAAGAGCTGTGATCCAGGGTGAATACCGACGGCCCGGACAGCCCAAAGAAGACAAGTTTCCATGGCAGAAGATTAAGTTTGACTTAACGAAGGGTTTGGAGGGAATAAAGAAGCATTTCACGCTGCTGAAATCGGAGTTCTCTGACCGCTGGGTCGGTCCAGAAGGAAAACCAATAGTTGAGCACATGCTGGAGCAGAACAGAGTGGTGTGGGAGTTCAGAGGTCCAGAGAGCCTGGAGCAGTGGACGGTGTCCTCAGACCGTGAGATAGGAGGACAGAGTGAAGTTTACTTGAAGCTCGGCAAAAACAATAATACCTGTTTTCTGTACGGGACTCTGAGCTCAACTCCTCCAAGAGACGGAGAAACACGCTACAGTGGATACTGCACCATGCGTTCAAAACAAGCACTGGTTAGTAGTGTTTTTGATTTCTAGATTTTATATTCACTTAATTGATTAAATCCGGGGTCATAGCTATGACGAGGGCTGAGCTCACGTCCTCAGTATTTTCTCTGGAATTGTGGAGGAGTTCAACAACCAGGGAGATGTTGTAAGAGGCTGATTTCACAACTCACCAAAATTTTATTCTCGACCATCGGAAAGAAATCTTTGAAAAGAGACTTTGCAAAATAAAATTTACAGAAAATGTAATTGTTTTTTCTTACATTATTTTATTTTTGAGTTGTGTGATGCTGCATTTGCTTGTAGCTGGGAAATGTTTCAATTCTAGTAGAAAATTCCAGGAAATATTTCAGTATTTATCCATTAATCTACCAATTTAAATTACATTCCTAATACAGATAATACCAGACTAGTTCCTGCTCCTCCTCTGTGGTTTATTGGTGTAAGTTTGTATTGGAATGAAAACCTGTTGACATCCAACATGTGGAAATTCTTAACTGTTCTTAAACTGATATTGGTGGTGGTTAGATGACTACAACACGTTCTGTCCCTCCCAGGCTTCATTTGATAGGAAGATGCACTACGACTGGTCCAGCTTCAACACCCTGCACCTGCGTGTACGCGGTGATGGCCGTCCATGGATGATCAACATCGCAGCAGAGACGTACTTCTCTCACCAGAAAGACGACATGTACGGTTACTTTCTGTATACCAGAGGAGGACCCTACTGGCAGGACGTCAAGGTATAACATCTTCAGCTAAAGATATTTTAAAGCCTGTTAAAAAAAAAAAAAAAAAAAATACAGGAACCTTTTCTTTCAGGAATAAAAAGCGATTCTAATTCTTGTGTTACATATTTACAGATCCCTTTCTCCAAGTTCTTCCTTTCACATCGTGGGAGGATACAAGATGATCAGCATCCTCTCTGGCTGGACAAGGTAGAGCTGAGCAAATTCATAACTGCACCAAATACAGACTGGAAATAAAGATATTTTAACCAGTTCACTGTTTTTATTTACAGATTAACACCATTGGATTTACCCTGGGAGATAAAGCAGACGGTGCGTTCCAGCTGGAGATTGATTTCATCGGCGTCTGCAAAGATTACGCTCACACTGAGGAGTTCGCCTACGAGGTTTACAAGAGGAATCCTGAAGTTTGAACGCAGCTCTTACGACACTGCAGATGAACTGAGAGCTGCACTCCTACCAAACAAAGTACTGGGACACATCACTGTCATACATGACTCCTCTGTATGAGTCTGTTAAAGGTGGTCACCTGTAACTGAGTAACTGAGTCAAACATTTGTTGTACGGTAAGAAGGAGGTTCTTCATCCAAGAGGACAAACTGATACTTGGAGCTTGCTGAAGATAAAACAGTAGGACAGGACATTAACTGAGGCAGTTGCTGCTCCATTCACAGCAAAATCAAGTGGTTTCCAATTCCTGTATTTGTGACATGTTCCATTAACAATAAAAATATTTCCTGAGTAAATTCTGTAAAATTGTGCCACAGATTCTGGTAGAAAATCAAATATTACAACACCACACTTTGTAAAACTGCAAAAAACTTATTTGGAGTGCAGACAAAATCTGTTGCATCATTTTTCCAAGAAAATGTTAAAACCAAAACATTAAATATTCAGCAGAACAGGACATCACTTCTCTACGCATCTAAACACTTCAGAGCCAAAACTGTTGCAAATCTAAAATACTGGATGGTAGATTAGATTTGAATATCGGTTGGGATTGTTGTAAATTACATTTTGTCAGTAAAGTAAAAAAAACAGTAAAATAACTTCCCGTCCAAAACCACAATTAGTTTTTACATTTATAACGTTTAAAGGTGCTCTAAGGTTTTTTTTGTTTTTGGACTGAGATAAGAGCCAGTCCAGCTTTGCCAGCGCTTCCAGTCTTTATGCTAAGCTAGGCTAATTGCCCTCTAGCTCCAGCAGCCCTAACCCTAGCATAAAGACATCTTTGCTAACTCTCAGAGAGTTTCTGTCCCCACCCTCGTGTTAAGGACGTAGGAATAATGTATTTGATTCACTAACATTGTTTTCTGGCATGTAACAGGCATTCCAGCCTCACAGGGTTGTTACTGACGCTTGTGCTTATTTCAAAAACAAATGTGCATCATGTTGTTCTCTCCGTTACTCCACCCAAACTGTAAGTAAACATCAACACCCAGCCGTCCAATTGGCACCATGCTGCACTTTATTAATGTATGTGTCAAATCTAAAATACTGCACAGTAGATTACATTTTGAATACTAGAGAAGCTTGTATATTTTCTAATACGAGAGAAATGAGCTGCAGACAACGAAATATTTACAAAGGAACAGGCTGTACAAACATCTACAAACAAGCGCAATATTACTACATCATGACGAGGCCTCTTCTTGCCCCGAGCATATTCTCCTTCTTCTGCTTCCTGTCTTCCATGTGTCTTGTTCTCCTGTGCTCCCTGAAGTAAGATACAGGAACATGTAAGAGACAGATGTTCTGACGGTTAAAACTGTTTTGATTATTGATCAGTTTAATTTTAGACCTTACCTCGTTTGGACTTGGTGCTGTTTATAATTTTTCTGATGTGAGTTGGAGATCAGAGACTTGTTTCCTGTCGTTGCTGTGTTTTCGTTTGCGTCTCCAAAGGGCTTCAGTTTACCTTAAAAAATTAAATAAAAGAAACCTTAGGGGACTGTTTGTCTGATACTACAGTATATTCAGGTTAAACAGGGAAACTGAAAAGCATTTGTACCTTTATGAGGCTTGTAGGTGAGGGGACGAGACAGACTCGCCTTCAGATCAAAGCTCTGCTTCTTCTGAGTTCCGGGAGTCATTGAAGTGCTCGTGTTGCCGGTGAAAACAAACGGCCCTTTTGGAATTCAGGGAAAGATTTTAATTACTTAACTAAATTAATCTATGCAGTGATACACGTCTAAATTAAGACGTTATTTTGAGGATTTAAGGTAAAAGTACCTGGAGTTTTTGTGGCAGAGACAGTTGAAGTCTTGACATTGTGGGGCTTGACTGCGTCTGGGGCCTGTGTTTGTGGAGTGCTCGAGCTCACACAGGGGGACATGCGCGCAGGCGTCTTCACCAAGGACCTCTTATACTCGTTGTCCCGAGTGGCTTCTGAGAAGCTGCACACAAACACACGTGGTTGCTGCAGTGTCACAATAACCATGAACGTTAAAAGCAAGCTACAATTTCTCCATTAACTAGCGTAAATAAAGCTTCACCGGCCGTCGGTGCCACTTCCCCAACTCGGCAGGCAAAACAAGAACAGCTGTTTACTGAAGTTGCTACTTAACAGCTGTAATGTAACAGCACTTGGCTTCTCCTAGCAGAAGCCTGAGGAGGAGGGGGTAACTCACCGGACATTGATCCTGCGAGTGGAAAGGACAGACGGTCTGAAGAGTGCATCTTCCTTCCCAGCAGGTTTATTCTGCGGAGCTTTACTCGCCGAGAGCAACGTGTGTCTGCGTTTGTCTTCAGCTGGTCTCTTATTCACCAGAGCAGGACTGAACATGGAAGCACGGCTCTGATTCACCTTCTGTACAATAGAAACGTATTCATCATTAACTTCACTCTGGAAGTGATCAATATACTGCAGCTGTAGTTATGGATGTTGAACACTCATTTTCTGCTGTTTGGAGTCTCTGAATCAAACAGACACAGGACGTGTTGGAAGCTGAGCTGCCACTAAAGTTTGCTCGGTTTGTTTTATGATCCATCTGATGTCTAAAATCCTTCACCCTGTTAAAATAAAGCTAAAAACGACCAAAGTATATTGTAAAATGTGGCTTAAAACTGGATAAAGGTCCATTTTCAGTCTGGTTCTGGAAGACAACCACGGCGCTCACGCATGTGCGAAGGGGATATGACGCCACTGACACGCAACCAAATCAAACGGACCATCACCTTGATTCTCCAGGGCTGAAAATTGCTGGAAGCATTTGAGATCATTTTTGTTCCCAACAAAATAAACAGGAGATGATACTCACTTGGGTTTTGCCGTCAACCTGCTGCTGTTTAGTTTTGTCTGAAAGCATCTGAAAAAGAAGATGGATGGAAGATAAGAACAAAAACAAGTTCACATAAAGTTTAAATTTAAAGTTTTCTGAATGCAGACAGTACAGAAGCTTCTGAGTACCTTCACTTCTTTAACTGAATTTCTGAAGGTCTCTATCTGCTTGGTCTTCCGCTGGACATACGTGTCAATGGACTCCATCTTGTTAAAATGGGCCTCGTGGAGTTTTTTGAAGTCTAAAAAAACAAAACAAACAGAATTTACAAAAAAGATATTTAAAGAGATTTAAATAGAAAAGCACATCCTGACTGTCATGTGGTGTCTCAGGAGGAGACTGAACGGGAGGGAAAAACAAAAAAGGAGAACTTACTAGGGGTGACGGGCTTCAACAACTTTTTCTTCTGCTGGAGTCCTTGGTGACGAGGGATTTTACCAGCTTTGGCCACCTTTCCTGCTTTTTCTGGACACATTTAAAACTTGTGTGAAATTAAAACATAAATGATCATAATTTTGTGTTAAAGTAAAGAATCTGTGAAGCATTATATTTAGCTCAAGAGGGAACAGGCTATTCAGCAGTAGAAATAAACAGTTCAAAGTTTGCCTGCTCTTTCCCCAACAACGACACTAACCTGCATCACCATTCACAGGTGCTTCATCCCTGATGTAAGCCTCCTGCTGCTGCTGCTCACTGCCAGTGGCTTGGGGCTCCTTAGGAAGCTCAGTGTTGGTATCATAAGCATCTTTGACAAAAGACACTTTTCTCTTCTTTGCGCCCCTGGTTGATGCAGATGCAGCCACTTCAGTGTCGCCCTGAAAGGAACAACAGTTGTTTAAGTCTCCAATCCTCCTGAATACAAGGAATTGATGCTGCAACACAGCAACTCTTTGAACAGGGATCCTGTAGTACCCACTGTGGATATTTCTACCAATCAGATGTGGGGTTGCATATGCACAGAAACATGCGCTAGGATACAATAGTTTTCATATAAAAAAGGTGCTTGTTAGATGCGGTTTAGTTCTGTTACTACCGTGTATTTGTGTTGGGTATATTGTGGTGTGTAATACCTCTGCAGCACTTGGAGGTAACTCAGTCTCTGTTGCAGTATCAGAGATTTTCCTCTTGATGTTGTTTCCTTTGCCTCGACGTCTGTTCACAAACACATCGGTTCTGGAAACTTCTTCCTTGCGAGTTGAATCTTTATTTTCCTGATCACTGCTTCGTCCTGCGTTTTCGTCTTCTTGAACATCAGTTTCACCCTCATCATTCCTCTGTAAAACAAGAAAGATGTTCACTTAAAAAAATCCCGTTGCTCGAGACTGATCCTACAACAAAACAATACCATGGACCAGGAGTAAGTTACCTGCTCTTCCTCCTTGTTCTTTTCTTGTTGGTAATGCTGCTTGATCATTTTCAAGAGCTTATCAGCCTGTTTAGGAACACAGACATGCTAGTTTAGTTGAGTGAATTCTTCCCAAATACACACATGTGTAAACGTTAGCTTACAGTACACGCCCAATCCAGCTACCGTTCAGAAAAACATCCTAACTACTGGTAAGTTAATTTAAAAAGTGCAGCTCCATTACCTTCATGTTTGCTTTAAGTCCAAGCTCCTTGGCAAGGCTTCGCAGCTCTGCATATTTCATCGAGTCCAAATCCATCTCGATGTGTTAGTTTAGTCCGTTTAGTGAAAAGAAACGAGCATACACACGGTTCGTTTCTCTAACACAGTTTCATCTGTTGCGGCGCCGGACCGTTAAAACTGCCTCTGATTCAAAACACAGCAGCTGCAGCTTTTTGATTGGCTCCTGGGGCGGGACCGGATGTGCGTCACAGCCAATCAGAGGGAACATGCCTTTATAATGTTACTCTCGTTGTCACTTAACGTTTTCGCTTGAATTTCATTTCGACGCTTAAGATGACTTTTTTTAAAATCATTATTTTGGTAAAATCTTAATTAGTATTAATTTGCTTGATGGCGTCAAGTGTTTACAACGAATTTTCTTTAGCAGTACGTGTTATCCGGCATTTCTCACGTACGTCCAGAAGGGGGCAGTGTTTCGCCGAGCAAACATCACAGAAAGAGGTGAAGAAGAGGGAATATACTTCCTGCTTTCTGGTCCAGAGTTCAAACTCTCAGGCGGGACAGTCAGCAAGTCCGACTCCGTAAAACTTCAGCAACATGGAATATGATGAGAGCCTCTTAATGCAGCGTTTTGACGATTTTAAACTGATCACAGAGGCACGACACGAGGAACAGATGACTCTCCACTGCGCGCGATGTAACACCGTCCTGGGGGACTCCTTCAGCGTCTGTGGGGAGATTAAATGTATGGACTCTATTATGTGTCTAAGTAAGTTCACTTCATCTCTCGACGGTTATTGCCGACTCAGGAAGTAATACAAGAATTGTTCGCGTGTTTTAGATATTGAGAATAACGCTCATGTTGGTAATGTCACCTGTTGTGTGTGTGTGTCCCTACTGTTTGTCTAGTGACTGTTGACCTTATGGCGGCCCTGAGGTGCAAGACTGAACACTTCACGAAACACATTAAAGCAGTTAATTATGACATTTTGGAAATTAAGAAAATAGAGAAAAGTAGCATTTCATAGAACAGATTAATGTGTTTGGACAAAATCTTAACTCAATATCCACCTATGAGCTTTTTCTGGACCTTTCCACCACATCACATGGTCTACCTAAATGATGCAGCTCAGCTAGTTAGTTGGTTGTTATGGAGATTACACATGATTTCTAACACTTAGTGGTCTCCATGACAACTGAGCAAGACTTAATGTTGCATTTGAAAGCTTTATAAATGTCTTTTTGTATTGACAGCATGTTGTTCAGTTTGTGTGTTGCAAGACTACTGCTCATTATTAATCACAAAAACTGCTATTAGTATCTTTTTAATGATTTGGTGATTTCATCATTCAGGCAATTTTGAAATTTACTAAATTTTGTATGCTAGTCTTACAATAATTCATTGTGATATATATATAAAATACTACAGTAGGTATACATGTGCACACATGTTGACATTGCGCTTGTCTCCCTCCAGGAGTAACCAATGATGTGGTCATCAGTGATGCAATGGAGTCAGGGCATACAGGGGTAATGGCTAATTGGTGAGTGAAAGCAGCAATTGTATGTTTGTTTTTGACACCCTCACAAAACTATTTTTATGAGTCTGTGGGTGTATGGATCTGTTTCTGGAAATCAGAAGTCACATGCAAACCTCTGTCCTTCACCGGCACCCACAGGTTACTGACTGTCATCGAGGACCATGTTTTTTGTCAGTTTGTTGTACGCTGGTGACTGAAAGGTTTCTATTTGTTGTCACTGCTCTTGTTTATTTTCAGCATCTACAGTTCTCTAAAATGCTGCGGCTGCCGCTGTGCTGTGGGCCGAGTTATTCACTCAGCTCCGCCACGTTTGGACGTGACTCGCTCCCTCTTCCTCCTCTACAAAGCAAACATCAGTTGGTAAGCCCTGCCGCTTCTGCTGAGCACACAACCATATTGGCTTTTTGTGTACAGGTCACTGCTGTCTGGAGAGGCTAAAAACAAACAGGTGCCTTGTGAGTGTTTATCCATTAAATGAATTGATTTTTTTAAAGCTCAGGTTAGAGATGAAACATATTTCTTTTTGCTTTTTGCTTTCTTTCATACTAGTATGAAACCACTGTCGTCTATATTAATTGATCCTTTAAAACTCTTTTCTTCTTCTTTCTCTGTGCAGTTACATCCTCAACAACAGCTCAATGGTGAAAGCATCCACACTCACATTTGATATGAAGCCTCTCAGAGAAAAGATGAATGAGGTGAGACAACAAAATCTAATATTGTGTTTATTCTGATGTGTTTAATACCGAATGTACAAATGCAACAGCTCAGTTTGTTCTTCTGTCAGTACTGTAGTGACGCACTGACTTGTTCTAGGTTAATTAACTCTGCATACTCTGGACATTTTTATAACGCTAATTAAAAAATTGTAGATATTATCTATGAATAGATAATGAAGTTTGAAAGAATGACAGGTGGGTGGCGCCAGAGATCTGAGGCCAAAACACGTCAGACTCGACATTCCAGCAAATCCAGTTGCCATGATTTTGCAAAGTTTAACTGGACAAAGAGCAACAGTGTATAAACTTCCAGGAAGGAAGGATGAATGTGACTGGGAAAAAAAAAAAAAAAAATGCTTTTTAATGAAAAAACAAATTTGTTCTTCCCTTTCGACGGCAGGTGAAGCAGCAGTTTGAGGCTCAGTTGGATCTGATTTCACGCGTTAGGAGCAGACTGTCGGACAGGAGTGAAACCAGTGAACTGGACAAGTAGTCTAGACTGTACCTTGTCCTGCGGGACCATGTGCTCTTCAGTCTGCTGCCTCCTGTAGCGTTTGTGTTTTATGTTGTAATGTTTTTTTATGTTTTCATTAAATGGTTTTTGGTGATGCAGACATTGATGTGTCTGTTTATGTCCCTGCAGCTGCCACACTAATCCATTTTTAAAGGATTCTGGCTTGTAATTTTTAGACTGAGATAAGAGCCAGGCTAGCGTTGCTCCTGCTTCCAGTCTTTATGCTAAGCTAGGCTAATTGCCCTCTAGCTCCAGCAGCCCTAACCCTAGCATAAAGACATCTTTGCTAACTCTCAGAGAGTTTCTGTCCCCACCCTCGTGTTAAGGACGTAGGAATAATGTATTTGATTCACTAACATTGTTTTCTGGCATGTAACAGGCATTCCAGCCTCACAGGGTTGTTACTGACGCTTGCTCTTATGCCAAAAATGATAACGTGCATCATGTTGTTCTCTCCATTACTCCACCCAAACTGTAAGTAAACATCAACACCCAGCCGTCCAATTGGCACCATGCTGCATTTTATTGCTGAATTTCTGATACAGATTCATTTTTTTCTTTTAGTTAATACAAAACCAGACAAGAGGCTCACACATAATAAGCATGCCCACTTCCTCCGTCTGGAGTGCATAGTTTCTACACAGTCCACCTCCTCAGTGGAAAAGTTGATTAACAAAGTAATGTCATTAATCTTCTTACCTAGGCTTTTGTGTTTTCTTTTTTTTTTTTTCATGGGGAACAAAGGTTGGTCAGTGTTTTTCAGCTGCACTGTGGCAGTTCTGCCAGGGCCATGTTTGACACAACAGACAGTGAGAGCAGAAACACTTCAAACTGCTCTCCACTACTTCTTTTTTTGGTGCTGTTTAGTCTGTAAAAACCACAACTGATGATCAAAGCTACTTCAACATGCTTGTTGTCGTGTCAATCAACCGTCCCCAAGTTGTCACCTTGTCACAGAACATCTGATATGAACATTTCAATATCCTAATTACACCCATTCACATTACAAAGTTGGATTATTGCATGCAATACAAATCATTCATTATTCTGCTAAGTCATGCATATTTTTTAAACCCATATATTCATGTTGCTAGACGCCTATTTGCTTATAAACTGTGATTATAAATCCCCACAAAGAGCATTACAGGGTTTTTAGAACACATTATTCAAGACAGGATGATGGTGATGATGATGATGACAATGATGATGATGATGGTGCAAGTCAGTACATAGAGAGAAAGTGCTTTTCAAACAAGTGTCAAGTTCGTTCAGTAAGTACTTTGCAGCCACAGAGTTACTGAAAGCCTATGTTTCTAAAGGAAGGGGTTCAGTGGATGTAAAATGCTACAAGTGTTAAAATGTAAAGCATCTCTCATGTACTGATCGGTTTAGATTATTGTTTTTGTGCTGAAAGAACACGAGGCAGGGAAAATAGTCTCTGAAAAATATAAGTATTTAGTTAAATTTGTCAGTGTAATACCGTTATGCTACAGAAGTCCTCACACCTTGTTCTGCAGGACGTTTCCCAAACCTTCAGAAGTGATACTGTATTTTAAAACCATTTTAAAACCAAATATTATACCACTCCCCAAAAAAGTGACCAATGGATAAACAGCTACCATAGGCATAAAAAGGGGGGGGGGGTCCTTTTAACACATACACCCTGGCACTAAACTCATGCATTATAGTAGGTTATTGCTTCTAAAACTAATCAAATACAATTTTATGGATTGAAATATAACGCTCTGAATCCCAAAACTATGAGGTATTATGTACAATACAATGTCATGGTGAGATCTTAATTCTAGGACTAAAACACCACGTTGGATCTCTACCAATCAGATCCAAATCTAGGATTAATTACACTCTTAATATAGTGTTTCTCTGAAGGTTTCTATCATTGTCACGTTTGAGACTTGTCTCTTGGGAGCCTCTTGGATGTCTCTTCTCTACCTAACTCTTTGGATGCTTGAGAGTGCACGAGTACATTTTAGAATATCTCTTCAGCTTTTTTTTTTTTTTTTTAAAGATAAGAATCTTAAGAACCTACAGCAGGTCTGTTAGAAAGCACTAACTTATACTGAGAATATACGCCTATGTGAATCAATACTTTATAACTGCATATCCTGATTGTGTCACACTTCAGTTAATGTTTTCATTACACGACCTAGACATGGAGTAAAGGAGGAGATCTTGCATTAGTCTAAGATTTGAGGGCACAGCTGTATCTAGATGTGGTGGAGTTAAGGGTTTAGTACGTCAGTCTACCACCCTTTAATTTGACTGAAATGGATTCCACGGTTTCGAGCTCCAGCTTAGTCTAGAAATCGGTTTCATTATTCTTCATGAAGCAAGCATCACTACTGGTCATGCATGGCTACTATAATGTTGGCACCACAGTCCCGCTAAATAAGCTAATGCACGAGTCTATACATATCTTAATGGAAGACATTGGTGATTTTGTTGCTTTCAAACAACTTGTCACTTGTTTATACAATATACAGTTTGGTCAACAACATGACAGTTAAGATCAAATATTGCACAAATCCCGGAAAATGTGATTTTTTTTTGTATAAATCATGTAAAAATGAACAAGGAAAGGTGGAAAAAATGATACCAGGGTTTCCCTCAGATAAGGACAAATACATGGTTAATTAAAGCTGCTATTTCAGCTCAATTTACTGGACACATCGAAACAGCAGATTAGAGACAAAACGTGGTGTTTTCACTTCATTTCTGGATGATTTTGTCTCGTGGTTCATGGAACAAAAGGAATCAAAATGGTCAATTCTGTCTCTACTGCCATCGTGTTAAAATGGTCTTGATATATCACGTATATGATTTCAAAACATGAACTAATGAGAGCTAATGTTAAAGCAAGAAAAGGATAAAATAAGAATATACGCAGGAGGATGTTAAAGGGGGAAAAGACAAAAACCTTAATGAAGAGTATACTACGGGAGGGAAACTGGACTAGATTTTCATAATAAAAGACCTACTTTAAATACTATAAATTGCCAATTTTTTGGGGTTAAGTCACAAGGGAAATATCTGCAATTCTGTCTCTACGTGCAGTTTGTGAATAAAGCTGCAGACTTGACGAAGGAGAGCACTACAAATCCCAAATGCTAAAAATGAGAGCATGGAGTAAAAATACGATCTTGTGACCTTCCTTTAGAACAGATGCAAAGGAGACCATAGTTTGAGTGAGACAGTGTTTTTTCCCAAAATGTCTGAACTGAAAGTAAATGACGGTGTGCATCCTGTGCTTGCGGGCTGCTTGGTCTTCTCCTATTCACCTGTTGACACCCTCACTAACTAATCCTCTACGACTAAAACCAAATTCATCCAGGAACTATATATATAAAACTGCTGTGGTGCTTGACAACCATTTAGCTACTTGTACTGATCGCACTCCCTTTCACTCCTGTTGGACTTGTTATGACAATGAGGTAGTGCAAAAGAACAAAAAAACAAAAACACACCCTATGAGTCTAATTCAATCACAAGCCTTGATCTTTGCTACAGTATCTTGTGTCTTTACTTTCTTCCCAGACACCAGGAGCACTTAGTTTGTTCATTATCAAACTGCTTTGATCTTATTACAGCGAAAGTGGGGATTTTTTTTTTTTAGCTACTACATTTACATGCAGCCTGAAAAGAATACAACCCCAATCTGACTGAAAACGCCCAAAACATGGAGACTTTCAGACACATACAGCCAGTGCAGAAACTCCATGGCTTTTCAGCCAGCGTCAGGCTACATGTAGACATAGTCAGATTGTGTGTGGTGGAAGTCAGACCAGCCCAAAATCTTGGATGTTGTCCTCACTGACGATCAAGCTGCAGAAACAGGCCAGGCCGAGAGGGGATGCCGTGGAGGAGAGAGGGCCAGTGTCCCAGCAACAGCAGGAAGGAGGGCGCCCGAGTCCCAAAACCCCAAAAGAGGTCATCTTCCCACTGACTCCTTGTTCTTTACCTCCACAGGTCTGGGTGGTGGTGGGAGTGATCCATCAATGGTGCTCAGGTTGATCTGAAGGGAAATGTTCCTCCAGACTGGGCTTCATCTGGTTTCCCAACTGCATTCACTGGGAAACCCATCCTAGAATTAAAAATGCACATTATTTGTATTTTACTCTACTGTTCTGTTTTAATCTGTAAATTTGAAGTTGTCTCATCTAAAGCTGAGCAACTGAGGGACTAGGCTACGTTATAATCACATCTCCCTATTATTTTTTTCAATTAACCTTTGGTCTATAAAGTGTCAGAAAACATCTTGCAATTTCCTGAAGCCCAAGGTGACGTCTTCAAATGTCTCCTCATGACCAACCAACAATCCCAAACCCAAAGATAATAAATATACAGTGATATAAAACAGAGCTAAACAGCAAATATTTACAGTGGAGAGCTGGGGAAGGTTTAGGTTGAAAAATGACTTCAGCAACAAATCAATTATCAAAATGATTCATGTCAATTTTCTGTTCTGGTTTCATCGCTGCCTTAGACAAACCCTGGACTTTGCTCTGTGGATGCACATTAATGCAAATAACTCCTCAGACAATATGACAGAGCTCTTTATGATTTAACTGGAATATGGAGACATGCACATAAACACAGTGTAACCCAGTGACATAATAAATTCAGGTGTATGATGCTTTGACTTCCAGCTAAGGGAGAGAGTTGTCTTGCTTTGGTGATAGAGACTTTACTGACCAAAAATAACTGAAATAGCAGAATACATATTCAATTTCTGGATGCGTTCAGCCTTTAAACTACCGTGGCAATTTCCTAAATGAGAAAAACGTTTAAGTTAAAGCTGCTAAGTACAAAGCACACTGACCTTGGTGTGAGTTGGTCCGAAATGGTGCAGAGATATTTCGGCTGTGGTCTGAGCTGCAGCTGCACACAATGGTAAACAAAAGCCAGGGGGGGTTCTTCCTCTACAGTGACACATTTAGGTCCCCCGAAGTGGACGTATGCCGGGTTTATCTGTAAAGAGGGACCGCACCGGGTGACGACACATTTAAAAAAACAATAAACCGAAAACCTCCGGGGGCCTTCTCTCCCCCGCCCCCGCCCCCGCCCCCCCACACGCCGGAGAGGAGAGAAGAAGGTCCCCTCGTCCCCTTCTCCGCACACCCTCCGCTCTACGCCATTTTCGCTCTGCTACTACGAGCCAAAGGAACAGCGCGATTGTGCCGGAGACCTGTCAATCAAAGTTAACGCCCGCCCCGGAAGTACTTCTTCTTTTCTCCCAACGGTCATCAAGCAAACTAACTAACCGCCAACAGAACTCAAGCAAGACAAGAATCAACAAAAAAACCCGAAATAATAAATCTATTTTAAGTAAAAGGGGGAAAATTTAAGTAGAAATATATAGAAACTAACACTAACATGTATTTAAGTATCAAAACATTAACTTATGTGTGAAAAAGTAAGCTAAAGAGGTCTGTCAGTTTTATGCTAGGTGGTCTCGCTATCTGCTCCAAATTAGTGCTGAATGAACAATTAACTGAGTAGTTGCTCAACATGAAATTAAATATACATTTATCATTATTTAAAAGCAGACATGTTAGACTATTTGTCTACCACATTTCTGATTTACTTATTGATTTACTGACTAAATTAATCATTAACCTAATTACTATGGACAAACATATCAATTAATGGAAATAACTGTTAATTGTAGCCCTAATCTAATTCAATCACATTTGATAACTTTGTTTTTCATTTAGTGTCTTATTTTGCTAAATTCACTACTTAACAGCTGCAGAACTTTACTAACACATGGGTGAATAAAATCTTTGGCATTATTTAACATTCAAGGGACTAAAGGTAGAATATTGAAAAACTTACAAATTTCATTTATGGTTTCACCTACATGTTGTCCTTGTCATTCAAAATTTCTAATGAAGTCACTTTACACTGTAATCGTAGTACAGTAGTAAGTAAATCATCTTAAATGTGGTGGCTTAGGCAAAGGTACTAGTAGGCCTACTTAAGTATGATAGTGCTGGTTTAATTGATGAATATTGGCATTGGTTCACATTTGTTATATATTGAGTCTTTATTTTTTCAAGCTGGATTTCTCAAATCCACAATAAAAATGACAGATTTTAGTTTAACCCTCTGACTTGGACCTCATGTTAATTTATACTATCAACTTAATAAATGTGGATACAAAAGTACATTAAAAAAACACAAAAAAAAAACACAGGCCCTCACCAAACTACAATAACCTCCCAATAAAAGACACAAAGAAAGCATGGCACTTATTTTATTCAAATCAAATTCATGAATCACTTTGATAATACCTAGACCAACATCACATTACATATGAATCATATCTGATTGATAATCACATAATGATTGACAAAATGGTTGAGCTTAATTTTCTGCACTCACTTTCCTGCTGGAGGGTGTTCTTGTAATGATTTAACAAATTCACATTAAAGATTAAAGGGTCAGACATTTCCACTCCAATTCATGTAGACTAGCCTGTACAGAAAATATATATTAACGCATTTGATTCTCTTTTATCAGATGGAGCTAGTCAATGGCAAAAGAAAATGCACAACAAATGTCGATCAGTGCATAAAACAAAAACATTTTTTCTTTGCCACAGCAAGACTGATCATATAGACAGAGGCATAGCACGTTATTGTGAGTTTACCTGGTCTAAGTCTACAAACTAACCGTTCCACAGCCCAATTTCCACCACAGGACCTGACACTGTTAGCCAGGGCTTTATTATGTCTCATTCAGGGGGGAAAACTTTTTAAAGCAGGCCACAGTGGCAGTTAAATCCTTATACCATTTTGCAAACGTACCATTTTTACCTCTCAGAACAGGTGCAAGGGAAGACTTACATGCTAGTTAAAGAGATGGTAGCATTTTGTGTGAATTTTTCCTTCTAAACACCACAGTTTTAGTTGTAAATGAATAACCGGTTCTTAAAATACAATATTATAAACACAATGACTCAGTGATGTCCAACAGGCCTCAGGGGGTTACTGCCTTTGAAAGAA